CCCTTGCCAATGACAACTCACCACGGAGTGCCAGTGGAGCCATTCAGGTGCCTAAACATGGCCATCTAATACTGACTTAGATACCTCAGGATATCTCTCAGGATGTCCCACATGGGGTCCAACCACTGCCTTGGAGGGGATGGGTCTCCCATAAGCTCTGTCTGTTATCCCCAAACCCTGTGCAGATGTGTCAGATAAACAAGGGCATTTGACATGGCAAGAGCCAAAAGCATTTTTTTTTCATTTTTCTCCATCTGTCCAAAACTGTTTGCCAAATGGAATAGAACTGCACTTTATTGCAGGTTAGCCAAAATATTATTTTTTTTCACTGAGAAAAGATGCCCAAACTTAATCATGATGGTAGCCTGACACCTGAGCACAGCTTCAGGAAGATGCACATTCCATTACAGTAATCACACCCTTTCTCCTTGGAGGGAGTTCCCCACTGACACTGTCAGAGTTCAGGACCATAATTGTGTCCATGCTTTAGCCACATGTTGAATGTCTTGAGTAGTAGTTTCTAGTTCCATTGCATTCCCTTCCTTCTTCAGGGTACTACCAGGCTCTCTGTAGCCCTAACCTGGATGGTGCTCTCTGTTTCATGTGGACGGCTGCAATGGCACAAGAGCTGCTGGATCAGTTGCCTCAGATGCCTGAATCTGCCTGAAGGATGAGAACGAACAAGTGAGAGACAAAACTACAAAGCCCCACACCTATTGCATCCTCTTACCAAGGCAGGCTGGGAAATGCTGTGAGGGACACGATAGAGCTGAGCCAGTCACAATCTGGCATTCAGTTTGTAAGATGGTGTCTGAGACATTCCAGAATGAATATTCCCATGCAACAAAACATATCAATAAACTGGATGTGACAGGTGCCAAGGGGTGAGGAGTCCATGGGTTCTGCCAGCAGTGGAATGATGGGAATAGAAAAGACCAGAATTATACTCCCAGGCAGGGAGTTAGCAAAGTGAAAGAGGCAGGGCCTGGTGCTGTTGTGAACAAGGCTGTGGAGGAAGTTTGGTCAGAAACAATGATAGCCATGAGCTGTACTAAAGAAAGGAAGGTCTCATGAATTCACTCCTGTTCCACTTCCTCGTGTCCTTCCTGGGTCACTCAGTTCTACATAAAATGTTTCACACGGTCCTTGTTTTCATATGTGGTTTTTTTCTGCTTTGGTAAGATAGGTGGGTGGCTGCCCTACCACTTCACTGCTCTGGAAGCATAAAGTGGATTTTTCTATGGCTTAGAGGTTTAGTCATACATGAGGGGTGTTAATGAACATGTTAATTACATGTAACATTTGGGTGTCTGAAACCACAAGCTGAAGCCCTCTGTACTCATTCTCAAGACTGGGCTACATCTCTGTGCTTACTCACTCTCTGCATATTTCAGGACGCATAAAGGATAAAAACAACCCACCATCCTGCATCAAATATACATGATAAATGAATCAGAAATGAGCTATGAGCTATGAAAGCAAAGCTAATGCAGGCTGGAGTGTGACACAAAAGAACACAATACATCAGTGTTTGTCCATCACATTAATGCACCTGAATCAAAGAAATGTGTGTCCAAGGGAGGAGCCTTTCAGTTTTGGAGGTGACTGAGCAACAGCCTAATCTACTCAAAAACTTAGTGCAGATGTTTAGCTTTCAGGCTCCCCAAGGGGCTTCATCCACGTGGTGGAGGAGCCAAGAGACAGGACCATTCCATGCAGACTCTATAGAAAAGGAGTTGTTCTTGCAAAGAATGAAGTGGGGAGACAGATGAGAGTCCATCCTTAGTGAACCTACTTATGCTGTGCTCTCTGAGGGATCATTACAGAAGGTATTTTCAGGTACATTACACTGATGTTGAGGTGCACTAACAAAGTGTCTTTCATTCAGGAATAGCAGACAAAACTCCTTCTCTCAGTCTCTGGGAAAGCGGCACCTCACACAGGCAGGTACACACAGTTAGCATGAAAGTTTCCCCAAGTTGGCTAGGATGTGGTTGTGCCATGACAGAAGTTACCGTACCTGAGCGTTGCTGGGGCTCCAAGGTTTCAGGCATTTGTTTAAGAGGACTTGTTGGGCCATTGGGCTCCTCTGGATAACTGGGAGTGGGACTTGGAGGCCGAGGCAGCTGTTATGGAGAGAAAATAAAGTCCACCTTATGCCATTTATTTCTCGGCCTCCTCAAATGCCTGACTGCTTCTAAGCAGCCTCTATGTTGCAGTCTGTCCACTTCTCTCCCTCACCTCTCCTTTCTCCTCTGTATCCTCATCCTCATCGACATAAGCAAAAGAATCATGCTTCATCTTTGGCAGGTTTGCCCAGGGTCCATTGTAGGGTGCCTCATTCAGCTTCTGCTGCATTTCTCTGTTGAGGAGCCGCCGCCGCTCTGGGCTGATGTGTGTCTGGAGCAGAGCCTGAAGTTCCGAACGCTCCACAGACCCCAGGAGGATCATGGTCTCTGCACAACGCACAGCAGGGAAGCCTTTAAGCCACCTCAAGGTTTTACATGTCCCCTTGCACACATCACCCCTTCCTCCTTCCAGCCTCTTCCAAGTGCTCAGGCTCATCCTAGCTAGAGCTGTAGGCTGTGGGGCTGTGGGAAGGGACCTCGCCCTCCTGAGCTGTGCCACCCCATGCATGCTCTTGGCTCATGCAGGATCCCAGGAGGTCCCTGTTTTCATGGTTCAGTCTACAGGCTTCCCACACACCTCCCTTACATACTGGATCTGCTTCACTGCCCACACTCCAGCTTACCTGTCTGGCCAGTTGAAACAGCCATCTGCCATACATCATCCACAGTGGGAGATTTTTAGGATTTATCGTTTTATGTGGTAGGTCACACTGCCTGCTTCACACCATGTAATTTGAAAGCTAGTTTCTCCAAGCTGAGACAGTCTTCAGGAAGGACCAGTTTCTCCACATTGCTTACCTGGTGAGTCCACCAAAGGCAAAGATTTCACTGTGGTGCTTTGGAGTACCGCTTGCAAGTCTCGGTATTTACAGTTGGAGGAAACAAATTTCACATCTTGGACCATAATGTCCTCAACAAAGATATTGTATTTGCTGTGAATTTATGGATGATAGGAAGAAGAGTTAGCATATTAAAAATGTAAAGCACGTAAATTCCCTAAAGAAATAGATAAATGGCCACTTTAAAAAAAGTACTCAAAATACAGCTGCCAAATGATCTTCTGTGAGAGTAACCAGAGGACTTTCTAAGAGGATAAACACAGATTAAGTGGATTTCCATTAAAGTTGTATTCCACACTGTTACCCCTCACTATAAAAGACACACATGTAAAAGACACATATGTATAGATGATTTTTGTATACATGCATACGTGTATGATATATACTAGAGAGAGAAAGACATTTATAGGAATAACTGAGTTTTGCTTCAAGCAAAATATCCAAGTACAATATTTCAAACATTTGCTGGGGAAAAATATCTAAACCCCACTGAATTTAGAGAAATGAGACTCCTGATTTTTAAATCTTTAAGCTGAAGCAATTTGGAAATATTAATACAAATTCAGTTAACATTGCAGGTCATTCAAACTTGTGCTTTCAGTGAAAAAAGGAAGAGGACTTCTCTCCGCTTTTGTGTATGAAACCTAATTCTACTCCAACACTTGTTTTTTTCTTACTGCAGGCCTATTCTGCCTTCTTAATTCCTTTCCAGTACTGAACCCTTTTCATAAGCTTTTATTCCCCTGTGGTCTTAACCCTCTCCCGCTTTATTTCTTTGCCACTCCCTGTTTCCACCTGTTTTGCTACTATACCTTATGTGATTCCAGCCCAGGTCTGGCAGGTAGGGCAACTTCTTCACCTGGATGATGCTGTCGTAGAGGCTGGGCTGCAAACTCTGGGCTACCATGTTGGCAAGAATGACAGCCACCATCATGGGCAGGATGTGGGAGATCTGACCCGTCAGCTCGAAGCAGATCACAGCGGTGGAGACAGTATGGCTCACTGCTCCTGTCAAAGCTGCTGCACCTTTCCCAGGTAGGAAAGGAGTAGGGAGAAAAGAAGACTGTCATATAGAAACAGTATGTCATGTCAACCAGGAAAATTACAGCAGTGGGACCAGGTGAGGAAAAAGGAAGACATGGAGGCTCACCAATGACAGCATACCCTCCAGGTAAGATTTGATAAAGAATGTCATCAAAGAGGATCCCGTTGGGGAAAAGCGATGCCATGATTTCCCCAATGAGACGTCCAAATGCAGCACCTGAAAAATATCACTGACAGTTATCTATGAAATGAACATTTAAGGAACATCCAGTCTGCGCTGTGCAGCTGTGCTGGGCAATCACTTGGGTGTTTTCTAACAGAAACGAAGCCAAAAGTTACATTAAAATTACACTGGGAACTAAAGAGTAGTTCTCAGTTACAAAATACAGAAGTTAAGACTCCAAGAGGAAAAAAGGGTACTAAGATTGGTAAATACAGTTGAGCCCTCGTTCATTCATTTGGGCACACCAGGCACAGGAGTAGCTGTGATTCCCAGGCTGGAGGACATATTTTCAGACTGTACAATGTCAGTCCAGATCACAGTGGAGGCCCTTTAGACTCTCATTCTGTGATTGTCTAAACAGTAGAATCACAGTTTAGAAAAGAAAAGTATTTGTGGGAAGGGACTTCTGGAGATCTTGTTCTGACCCCTGCTCAGACAAGGGCTAATCTCAGAGTGAGATGGAGTCACCCACGTGACTCCAAGTCACAAGTCTGCAAGGATCTCTTGGATTGGTGGGCACAAAATAGCACAGTGTTCCAGAATTGTATCCAAATTGGTGAATGCCTGGAAACAAACAATTTCTTTGCATTGCTGTCTAGGTCTTTTCCTAATACAGCCTTGATGTTGGTTAGCCTTCATCACTGCAAGGGCATGGTACTGCCTCATGTTCAGTTGCTGCCTGCCTGAACTCAGATGTTCTTAGAGCATGGTATTTCATTTGAGACTTGTGGGTACTTAATGCTGAACATCATGAGCTTGTGTAGTTCAGTCTAACACAGCCTCTCTTTCTGAACATTAGCATCATATTATTATTTTTTTTTTGTTATTGGTATTAAAACCAGTTAAAAGTCAATAAACTTTTTATGTTATCACATTTCAGTCAGAAGAAAGGAGTAAGTGGTAGATTGCATTTCAGGTACTAGTTTTGAGGTTATCTTTTCTGTCTGGCTTTCAGGGGTGAAAGGAGCAACTACTATTAATTGCAGGATGGAAGTTTCTCTGTAAGTGAAAAGGCACAGAGATTAGAAGGCCATGTCTCAGCATGTTTCTCCAGGTGTGGTTTTCCTTATGTAAAAGGGTAAGGATTACCTACTTGGCATCTGGTTTCAGGGGGTTGAGGAAATGTCAAAACCAGAGACCCAGAGAGTGGTCTATGGGCTGCAAATCAGGTTGTCTTAGGCATCAAGTCATGACTCCTCATATACCAGATGAACCCTGCTGGGTGTGTAGGCAGTGTCTCTCCTATTCTCTCCACCTGTCAGATGAATATGCTGCAAAACAAAATTGAAACTCACCTAATACGAAAACAGGCATGAAGCCTCCACAGGGGATTGGCATCGTGGTGGCAATAACAGCCATGCAGAACTAGAACAGAGGCAGAGGGTGCAGTTGTTATTGAGCAGCAGTAGCATTTCCTGCTGCCCCACTCTGTGCCCAGCCTGGCAACAGAGGCCAGAAAGCTGCTGAGATGTAGTACTGCTAACCAAGCTCTGTCTTTGCAGTACCAAACCTGGCCAAATACAGCTGAAAACTGACTATACTGCAATGGAGAGTCAGGCCAGGCCTTTGCCCAGAGTCAAAATAGCAGTTTCTTGTTTACGTGGTCTACTACAATGCTGACTAGATCTAGAAGAAAATCAAGAGCAGTTTTCTAGTGAGTAGAGAAAGCCTTTAGTTAGTAGGACAGTGCCAATGAATCTTGTGGCTGAGTGTACAGCTCTTCCAAAGGCAAACAGGTGGACTCAGGACAGACACACCCTGTAGTTCACTCATCTTTTCCACTCCTCTTTTCTTCAAGTAAACAAGACCTTTTCTGCTTGGTACACTGTAATAAGAATTATCACAGAAGGAAAACCCTTAACTACCTGTCCGAAATTTGATAGAGTGTTTTACTTTAGGTGGAAACAGTCATCCAGTCATTGATAGCTGTTCTTGATCTACTGAAATTTCAACTGACATTGCAAGGTGGCCTCAGCTCTTCTACCCCTTTGCAATAAGTAAATAATAAAAGAATTAGCACCTATTCTATGATATTTTTATCTTTTTATATTTGTATATATATACACACATATATATATTAGGAAAATCTTCTTCTTGCTACTTTTATTTTGAACATTGGAATATGATGTTTTCTTCTTTCAAATGTCTTTTTTTTTCTCTGTCCTGTGACAATTACACGGGATCAGAAGCTGAACAGTTGCAACTTCCACAGACTGTGTCAGCTCAGAATTTTTAATCTGCTGTTGCTTTCTGAGAAGTGAGCAAAAAACAGTTCCCAGCGTCATTTCTCTATCAAGTTTTGATGGACTGCTAACAAATCCTTGAGCCTCACACAGCTATGGATTGTACTTGCATATTCCTATTTGTCTCATATCTGAAGTCAGGAATATCAAAGACACTGTATGAGACTTCATTTAGATCAAACATAAATTATCTGAGAGCTTTTTAGTAAAGTATTGATTTTTGTGGAACTTAGAACTTTTTCCTGATTTTGTCTTCCCCACCAGCTACTATACAGTGGATGCCAAAGGTCATTCAGCAGGATGCATGAGGAGGATGACCTAGGGAGCAGAAAAAGGCCACTAAATTAAAGAGACCATTCCCTAATAATTTTGGTCATTTAAAGTGGACAAACATCACATCCAAAGATGTAGGAATCCATTGCAGCTCTAGTGCTTCATTCAATACCCAGCAATTCCTCATTGGCACTTCTTAAACTGCTTTAGAAAAGGGAAGAACATTCAGTCTGAGTGGAGAAGGGTGATGGTGAGCTGGGCTTCCTACCTTCACGAGGAAGAAGAGCAGGATGATGACGAAGACACTGACTTTAGGATGGATCCAGGCAGCAGATTTCCCCAGGATCTGGGTGTCCCCAGAGTGTTTGATCCAGGTATAATTATCAAAGAGAGTGCTGATGGCTTCCCGTGGCATCAACTAAACAGCAAAAAAACCAGGTATGAGTCATGAGATTAGATGGAGTAAATATTCTATCTCTGTTATAAGGAAGTGGAGGAGATTTTTACTGTGGTGATTCATAACTACAAGATTTAATTAACATTTTTAATCTTCAGGAAGAGACAAAACTTTACTCAAACAGATGAAAAGACAACTACTTTTACACATGGTAACATCTTCCTTATTATTTGATAGAAGAGTGGACCTTTTTCAAGTTTTCTATGAAGGAGGTAGCAGAGATCATACAGTGCCTCCTCAGTCCAAACTCCTCCCTTTTCCCTGACACAAGGTTATTGGGGCAGAGGATAAGGAGATAACGTTCCCAAGAACCAGACAGTATTGGTAATACACTTTCCTGTCTCACCTCTCCTGCCATGAACTGCCCAAATCCATGAGGAAATGTCACAGACGCTATACAGAAGGTTATAACCGCAGGGTATATCAGTCGGCTGGAAAGAAAGAAAGTTATTACAGTGTGACCTCACATTCTGTTCTTGTAGCACCATCACTTCAAGGCTATTTCTGTGAAGCCTCTCTGTATCCATTGCTTTGGAGTGCTGTCACCAGCAGTTTAATGCCCTGCTTCTCTTATCATCATAATTCATAGAGTTCACCTGTCAGCAAAACCCTTTTTCCCATCAGAATTAATATCATAGGAGGGATGGAGGAAGGGTGGGATGTACAACACACACAAGCTTGAACATTTGGAGGAATGTGTGTTTGCAGTGATGTGTTGACCTATTGTCAAAAGCCACTGCTTTTCTCGTTTGTCCTGATTATGACAGTCTTGCTTCTTCACCCCCCATGCAATATATCCTGTCCTAGTGGATTTAAATGTAGGGGTTTCTCATACATTTCTGCAGGCACCCCCTGGTGCATTAATTCTTGTGGAGAAAACTGCTTCTCCTTCCACTGAATTGCTGACTGTCCCAGTTTAGGGGAAGGTGTCCTTGGTAGCCAGTGGGGTCTAGCAGTGCCAGGCCAGTGGGACACAGCAGGAGAGAGGCTGAAGCCATCTTCTGTGTCCAGTCCCAGGGTGGGTGAGGGGTAAACTGTGATGCTTCACAAGCACTGAGACAACATCAGCCTAAACTGCTTCCAATGCTGGACTAATCTTGTCATGTGTCCCCTGGCAAGTTACTGTTTCCTACAGGAAGCGTTGGCTGAGATTCAGGAAGACAAAATATAACCTTTAATTTGTTTCAGTCTAAGGACCTAAAAAATTCTGAGGAATCAGTAAAAGTAGATTCCCACTTTTCAGGCTTTGCTCTACTTCTCTATTAACTTGATTTGATCGCCCTGCTGCTGCTTGTGGGTAAGGCTACATGATGAAGAAAGACAATTTTTCTTCCACATAAGAAAGTAAGTTAATTTGAACTTCTGTTTATCTAGTGGTTTTCTTCTGGTCAGACCTGCAACTTGATAAGAAATAAAGTCCTCCATCCATCTCAACTTCAAAAATTCTCATAGTATCAGATTTTTTCTGTAAAGAGACTGAAGACATTTACAGCTAGCCACCATTTCTTGTTCGTTATAAACTTTGGAGGTTAGGACTCTAATAGAGAGGGGAAAACAGTATCTTCGAGTGTCCTGTAAAAACTTTATTGTCAAGACTTTTATTTTATTTTGCATTTCTCTTCCATGCTGCATTTCACACCATTTGGTTACTATCAGTTTCAGCTTTTGGTTCACAAGAATGGAGCACATTCCTTACATTTTGGATAACATTGTGATTAAAATACAAATATATATTTTAAAAATGTAGTTAGATTTCAGCAGTATTTAATTTTCCTGAAATATAAATAATGTTGAAAATTTCACTGATCTTAAAAAACCCAAACCAACCATAAACAGCATGATTCTAAGCATGATCATTGATTTTAAGCATGATCATTGACTTTCTAATTAAAAGATATTTTCTATCCAATGAATAGTTTGATCTATCCTCTTATCAAATATTATCCTCTTAACAAATATTGCAGAGTCTCCTTTCCAAATCAAGAAGCTATTTGAAACTATGGGGGATGATCAAAAAGAAAATCCAGTGCAGGAAAAATTCTCTTGATGATTGCAGAGATCTTGCTCTCATATAGGAGCAGTTTCTCATATATTTACTATCTAACACGTGAAATAAGTCTACTGTCTTCCAAAAAGCATTTGCTACTCTCCAATACCAGTAGGGTGTAAGAATCTGGTCCCTAAAGAGAGTATCTTCACAAGCACTCACTGTTTGGTGAGAAACTGGCTCAGAGCTTTATGACGTCGGATGCCCAGGACCACTTGGCGATTGAGATAAACAAAAAAGGCTCCAAGGAATCCAGAACATATGCTAAAATGGAGAAAAAAAAATACAATCATAACAAACAACAGATAATACACAAACCACCAACCAAGAAAATGTGTTTAAGTGGTTTAATCTTCAGCTGCTCATGAAGTCTTTTGATTGTCACCTACAGGGTTACTCCTACAGCAGCTCATTTGAAAATATTGACTCCCTGATGAATAGGGAGAAATTATTTTGGACCTCTTTGTCATACACACTACCATTTTTCCAATTTTCTCTTGCTGAGAGGGGAAAATCTATAAAATACTCTATAAAAAGAGACTGACAGTTCTCAGTGGGGCCTTGTGAAGAGCAACCAGGCAAAGACCAGTATTGTCAGAATTTAAATATCAGGCTGGAACAGAAAATAGTAAAAATGAAGGGAGTTTTAGGTCTGATTCATTAAAATTATATGCCTACAACAATTACTAATAGAAATAGGAACTCTTGTGCCTAAAGCAAAGGATCATCTCTGTGATCCTAATCACTTAGGCTTATGCTCTTGATCTTAATAAAGAAGGAAAAAAAGTGTAGTTGTTTAAGAATTGGTGTGATCCTTAGGCTCTGTAGCTTAATGAGACTTGGATAAATAGGGCCTAATACTCAAACATGAAAAAAAAAAAAAGGAAGAGTGAAAAAAAACTGCATTTAGGATTGGTAAGGGTAAGCCTTATTTTACGTGGCAGGTAATTAACCCACATAATTCTGAGGATAAACACTTAATATTTTCATTTTATTAATTTCTAAAATTAATGAACTTTAGCTTTATTATATGCCATGCATGTACTGATTAGAACAGTGTTTAAAACAGACCAGTCCCTTAGGCAATATAAGCCTAAAGACTGCACAGTCAACTGAATTGCTCTATAATACTTTATATTAAAATATAGATCTCTCCACTCATGTCTATTGATTTATCAATAAACTGGAAGTGCTCTTTCTGTATAGTTTATGCAAATTAACATTTGCTGACACAGAAAAACAAGATCTACCCATTGATAGTGCTTGTCCTACCTGAAAGTAAAGAAATAGGTAGAAAGAGAGTTCAATTTTGAGACTTAATGTTAAGAGAATTTGGAGCATTCCAAGTTGGTATCAGGACTTTATCCAAGACTATCCAAGCCTTTGGGGTTGTTTTTTATTTTAAAGACACACTGGACACCCAGGCATTTAAAAGCATTTTGCAGTTGTCATATATTCCTTTCCTAGCCCATGTGCAATGCTGAAAAAAGACAGCTCTGTCAACTCTGTCCAAAACATAGTGACAAGAAGTTATGCATTCTAACAACCAGCTGTAAAATCACAAGGATTACATTTTTCCTTGCTAATCTAAACCAATAGATTTCCTCCAAGTTCATTAGGCAAGTCTGTTTAAAGGGATGAACAAAGTGAATACATGTTACTAGCAAAAGCTCCTGTGTATTCACAGATTTTTCAATATATCTGATGTCTTCAAAAAACCCCACTTGATTTCATATTCATTTCATTAGTAGGAGGGCAGCCTACTAAAATAGGCTGGAAAACCTCAAATATATTGCTGGTCTTGGACGGAGGTCTTGCAACAGAATATGTTCACAACACCAGCATAGGCATTTGTTCCTACAGTGTATTCCTTTCGTTACTATTCTGCAGTGATTTCTCTGGAGCCTCCCTCAAGCTCTAGCCAGAGATGTTTCCCCACAGTAATTCAAAACTCATCTTTTTTCTACTATTTCCCAATTTTAATTTTTCTTAAGTTCATTCTTTCATTTCCTCTAAATTAACCATTATTCTCACTGAATCCAATTATGGTTGGTTACCCTTGTCACCATGTCAGGTATACCAACCTCTTTCAAAAAGGATAATCAGTCTGAGCTTGTGAAAAGGAAACTTCAGGTTAAACCTTTTATTTCATCTTTGTCATGTGAAAAGGCCATACTTGTTGGATCAGTTCATTTGGGGATAATGTCAAAATAGTTAAAGGGCCATTCAGTAAATCTATTCCCAGAACTTTGACCAAGTTAGACTTACTTTTTTTTTTTCTTACCTCCAAGATTAATTTCTGAAAAAGATATCTGGAAAGGAAATAACAATAATACCTATATTCTTTCCTTAGCCATTGTGACACATGGGCACCATTTCTGAAGGAAGAATTCCAATAAGTGGAAACTTTATTTGCAACAACCAAAGTGACTAAAAGTGACGTATGTAACTTTTTGGCAGAATTCCTAACACAGATCATATTATAACCTTTATAGAGCAAGGTATCAGTTTCCTGGGAACTTACCCTATTATAGCAAATGCTGGCAGCTCTTGCAGATCAAAGGGGAAATCCATACGGAAGTTTGTTCTGAACAGGGCTGTGATGGTAACTGTGAGAGGCGAAAGACAGAGGAGGAAAGAAAATGATGAGGTGAGAAGTTAATGCAATAAAAGCTAGAGTTATGGACAAGGAAACTGGTTTATACATGCTCCTGTGTGGTTTCCTGACATTATATACATTATTACAGATTGGCAGATTGCTCTGATTTAGTAGCTTCTATTTTTGCGCACTTGCAACCCTAGGACTTTAGATGGTCTAGGTTTGCTTTCAGAGAATGTATGCATTATTTTTAGCTGCAATCCCTGATTTTTTAAAGGGTTTTCTTTCCTTTCTTGTCTTCTACCATCCATTCACTATTAAAAAAACCTCTTCCTGGTATCCTTACTGACCGAAAGGTCTGTTTGCTGAGGCAGGCAGTGCTGCATATCTGAAGAAGCTGTATCACTTCTCGCAGTTGTGATTGTCTTCTAGAAACAAAACTCAGGTCTTCACTGAAGGTACAGTTTCAAAATTTTTGACTGGTACCAAAACAATGAAGGGCTTAGAAATAAGAGATGGAAAAGATCAGTTAAGCCCCATCTTCTCCAGCTCACCCCTCCTGGTAGTGCTGCTTTGTTACAATGAAATGCTGAAACTTGAGCTGCTTTTGTCTGGAGGTGTGTTTTTCTGTTGAAACAGTAAACATCTGTATGCAAACAGGTGAAGGATAAATTAGCAATTTAATACAGAGTAGAAGTGCAGCTGAATGGGGATGGATATAAATCCCAGCTTGACCTGGATGAAGGAATTATTTGTTCAATGACGAAATAAAAGAAGCAGTGAAAATCTAGCATATGAAAGTAACAGGAAGCATTAAGTACTTGTTATTTGGTCAGACAGAACTAGGTTTAGAGTAATAATTTAATGATGTCTCAGTGTGTTACATTACCTAAGATAGCTAAGCTTAAAACTGCATTCTACTATCCAAATTGGGAAGATCTTGCTCCCCATCTCTTCCCCCTGTTCCTTCCCTCTCAGCTGTACTATTGTTCTCCTCTCCCGTTGGGCCCACTCTTACACATTACACCCTTCTCTGAGTTCCTTTGCTTCATTAAAACCTGCCAGAAAATCTATCTGTTCTTTCCCTGGATTACTCCTCTGCCAGGGAAGTGTATTGAATTGAGGAGAACAACAAACACAGAGATGGCACCAGGGAGGGTTAGAATAATAGTCAGGGATGGAAGATGGTGTCCTCTTTCTTGTTAGATCAGCCCAAGAAAGGGATCATCCCAGTTCAGTTTTAGGAAACAGATAGTCCAATCCACTACATGGTAGAGCATTAAAAAGTATAGTGAACTCATTTTCAATTAGTTTTGCTACAGGGTGGCAAGGATGACCAGAGGAAAGGAAAACAGTCACAGCATTTAGTCTGGGTCTCTCTTGGTTCTGTCTCTACTGCCACAGGACAGAAAAAGATTTCCACAGAGAGATTCATCCCACCAGTCTACATCCTCTTTCCTGAGTGACTAAGCCATCCTGAAGCTGAATGTCTAAGCTCTTTTCTTTCCATCGGCTACAAACTGTACTAGTTTCAAGTACCTGTCCAATTCTTACAAAATTAGAAATAAAAAGGAATGGGAAAGTAGTTATTGTGAGTCTACTTTAAAATAGATTTGAACTTTAAGATAACACTGAGCCATGTGTAGAAGGAACCAGAAGGAGCAGGAAGAAGGCAAGACATGAAATCCTATGGCAAATACAATGAAAGTCTGGGATGTGGTAAAACAGAAATCCTGCAAATTACAGAACTCCAGCCTTCCATGACTGGCAAAGAGGGGCTCAAGCTGCAGCAGCCAACCAGAGTGGATGGCAAATAGCCAGATGTTATTTGGAAAGTACAGATAATTGTGTGTGTAAAGCCAGCTAACAAAGCCATGAGTATCAAGAAGCCAGCAAAGATTCTGTGGGTCTAAGAAATGAAAGAATTTTGGTGAGGTGCTACACAGCTTATTTGCATCTGTCATTCTGATGTGATCACTTCCCTACCTGCTTCTGCCTGGTAGCAGGCATTATAGAAAAACCTTGCATGAACAGAGACTGAAAAGACCGGGTGTGTAACTTCTGAGGGAAAAAAAATGAGCAAGAAAAGACATGAAAGACAAGTAGAGCAGACAGGACAAAAGATCATAAAATAATGAATGACTTAGCTAGATAGAAATTCCTAGTTCCTTAATGTAAGGACAAGGAGAGTGACAACACAAATAAAATACAGAACTGTGAAAAGGAACAATTTTTCATAGCCAGTTGGATCATGGAACTTTTTAACCTAGACAGTCAATGAAGAAGTTAAGGAGCCATTAATATGGGTATTAAAGCTGTCTGGATGATTTTGAAGTAGGCAAAGGAGTCAGGATGTTTCAGGATTAAGGTAATTTCTAGTGATTTGAAATTAAACTAATTTCTGATGATTTCTAGTGATTGGAGAGACCAACAAGGGAGTCAGAAAAGACAAAGTAAAGGTCAGGAAATTATCTCCTCTCTGTCTTTGCATTTCTTTTATTTTTCTCTGGAAAGAACAGAAAGATATGGGTTTGGGGTTTTTTGTGACAGACCCAATGGTTAAATACTCCTCACTTTTAGGCAGTGCTACAAACAAAGAAAGATGTAGTCTCTTTCTACATTCAGGTAGAAAGTGTAGTCATTTTCTATATTCCAGAGAATATTCAAACTCCAAAAAAATCCAGCCCTCTGAAGTCAAGAGAGACATGTTATAGCATTTTAAAATAAGTTAACTGCCTATATGGAGCTCAATAAAATAGATATAATTGTAAGAATAAAAGACAGAGGTATTATAAAGAAGAAGTTTACATAGAAATGGCAGCCTTCTGCACCAAAACTATTCCCACAGTGACTGAGATGCTCTCCTGAACAAGCCTGGCTTGTGCAATTTCTATCTGCAACAAATGTCACTCTCATGCTTTTCAGTTACCTGAGGTACTTTATTTTTTCAGGACCTTCAGTCAGATCCTACCAATCCTGTACTCTCCGAATCATTTAATCATCTCAAATTTCTTGATTATCTGTTTTTAGTCAAGAGATGACCAAAGCAGGCCATGAGTTTTCCATCATCCTCTGTGATGGGATATCTCTGTGTTTGCAGCCTGGACGCTATTCTGAGTAGAGGCAAAAAAATCCCACCTCAGGGGAACTTTTGTTCGCCGAGGACTCATATTCTGTCATTTATCAGTTAGATACATCCCAGCTCTCCTAGGAATGGGTTAGGCTAGACAACTGACAAGACAACGTTTCCCCTTCTCCCTCCTACTGTGCTGCTGAAAGTCATGTGTTGTGGCAGAAGTTTCAAACAGCATAAAAACAATGTGTTTTTGAGAAAGATGGAAAAGAATGCATTAACAGAGCAACCTTTGTACAAAGAGAGCAGGAATGGCTCTTGGCTTACCTGCATCCTTGTTCCAGACAGCAAGGACTCGGAACACGAAGGCACTAAAGGTAGCTGCAAAGAAGCCTCTCCAATAATTGCGCACAGCAAAGTAGGTGGAGGTGACCTCGATGCTGAAAAGAACCCCTAGAAAGAGTTGGAAAGGGAGCAAGGTTAAAATAATAAGTGTAATGGTAGAAGCATGAGAGAGGATCCTAAACAGCCTCCTAGAGCAGTGGTCTCCACACTTCTTTGATCATACACCCCTACCAATAAAAGATTTTTGAGCATGTACCCTTCCCCCATATGTGTATTTATTTAAAAATAATACGCATGTACTACTGTACTAAAATATCGTGTACAATATCAAACATGCACAAAATAGAAATTAAGGATAAGATAAAGACGAAATAAACGTAATTTTAAAAATAGTTTGTTTTATTTATTAATGGAACAAAAAAATTGTTCTCACTAATACAGTAATATTATTTATTTTTTAAAATCTGGGTTTAATGCTTCGTGATACAGGGATTCAAAGGTATGGTGCTATGTTTAATCATTTTGATACTTGGTCTAAAAAGAATATCTCACAAAGACACGTTGATCCAAATGCAAGAAATGTATCATTGGCTGTGCTGGCTAAATTATGATACTATTTTCTCAATCCCACCCACCACCTATGTGTAGGTTTTTGTTAAAATTTGGATAGTAAATTTTCATCCTCCCTGATGTCAATCAGTTGTTCTTGCAAAATAATAAGAAGATGTTGAATTTTTATATTTTTAACAAGCGGGTTCAAAACCCACTGAAAATCATAATCTTGAAGATTTTTAAAAAGGTAGAAATTTCTGTTTTCAAGTTTTTTGTGTATATATATAATGAGAGGTTTTGCAGCTAAGACACTTAGATTGTATTTGGCAACAGATTCACAAAACCTCCACAAGTTTCTTTTGAAAAGAAGTTTCTTACCCACCGTTAGAACATCACTTTCACCTTGAAGTACATCAAGTATGTTTTCTTTTTCAAAAAATAACTGTTAGGTAGCAATCTACTGACAGACACTTGTCATCACAGGAAAAATCAGCAAATTCAGAACACTTGTTTTTTTGTAAAAGATAAAGGTGCAACTGGACTTTAAATTCTATTCTTTAAAGTTGCTATCAGATAACCAACAAATGCCTGTAGGATTTCATCCATCTCGTTATGAAGTATTGTGAAGATTCTACTCTTTCAGGGTCTTGTTTTTATGAAATGAACCACATCAACAACATCCTGTAGCACTTTGTGCATGTCTGGCTCCCATTTCTATGCTGCAATGGCTCATCTGTGAACACTGCAGTGCATGAATTCCAGGTGTAGTGATGTCTTACCCCCCCCATTCTTTTCTTATTCTGCTCCACCAGTTGTTACACTTGAAGACCTCTTCCATAAAACGTTTTTTTATTAAAGAAGTAATTTACTGTTGAGAATAGAGCTTCAGTGGTAGAGCTTCCTTTCAGTGTCTCACCGAGAGAAGTTCTGCATTTCACTACCAAAACAGAATCTGGAAAATACCATCATCTGAAGCATTTTAGAAACATCTGTACTCTAATCCAGATGCACAGGAAACCTCTCCTACTGTGTAATTTGTACAGACTCTTGTTCCTTAAAACTTGAAGCAATGTCTGCTATGCATCTTTCAGCAGTGGTAACTGATGAAGGGGCACATTTTAGTTTGCTGCTCTGTTGCTTTCTGTGTATTATCACAACCATTTTTACGTTTTATGGCAGGAAGCCTGTTTCCCCTGTGGTATTTTCTCTTTTGCTGTGAAGCAAGAAACCTCAAAGGAGGCTTCTCTAGACATTTGTCATTAGGTTCAGTGAAATTTCGTGAAGTATTGGATTGAATGTCACACGGTTTGAAACACCGCTGAAAAAATTGTAAAGGTTTGTCTTCATGTTCTGGATGCCTAGATTTTAAATGTCTTGCTAATTCTGATGACTTCATATCCTCATTAGTTAACTTCTCAAAGCACAATACACACATAGGGTAAGGTTCATCGTTAATGATAGCAGATGTAATTTCATATTTAAAATAACCTTTGATAATTTTAATCTTTTTTTGTCTGACTTCCTCTCAGATCTCATTAGCTGGCCATTGTTTATACCTCATAATGAGTATACCTCATATTGAATAAGGGCCTGTACTAGAAGTGTCAGCTCTGCCACTTTCTTGTCATTTCTCTGTGCTCACATTATTAGTATTATCTTCAATCCATAGCCTCTTTGCAGGAACCTTTTAAAGCCACTTTTCCAATTTGTGAGGATTAGTTTAGTTAACGCTAGATAATATAACCCATAAATACACTTAATCCCGTGTGGGCGTGCATTGATTGCAATTCATTGCAATATGAAAGAGAGATGATTGAGGGCACCGTGGTCAACCCTCCACGTTGGGAGCAACTCTACACCTCATGCACTGTATGTGACATATTAGGACACCACTGCCAATACAAATACTTAATATTAGTGAAGTTTAATCTATTTCCTTTTTTATATTAAAAAAACAGAAATTCTGGAATTTCCTTTCCACACCCAACAGATCACCTTCTGCACCCCCTGGGGTACGCACACCCCAATTTGGAGACCACTGCTCTAGAGAGCCTTCTCCTCTTGCCTCCAGAAAGTGGACAATGTGGAAAAAAGACTGTCAGAGATGATGGGGAGGTAGAAAATGCTAAAGTAAGTGTCTCTGTCCAAAGTAAATGTCACATCAAAAATGTGGTGTAGTAGAGGGGGAGAGGAGGAAAGGACTAGGCAGGAGAGGATTTAGGTACCTGAGGAAAAGGAAACAGAACAGCCACTTGCCTCCAAGTGGTGTCCCAAAGCAGCAGCCAACACCCACAGCACACCCCACAGTCAGGACATCCGTGTAATAATAGGGCTGCTACTGGTGAAAGAGACAAAGAGAGACAGACAAACAGAAGAAAGAAGGAAAGAAAACAGAGAGTGAGTAACAAAATTGGCAGGTATGACTGCATGACGTCACCCAGCTCTGTCACCACCAGAGTTATGGCTATGTTTATCTTACTTCTCCCTTCTGGATGGCTACAAAATATTGAAAAGGCAACATCTGGCACAGGACAGGCATATATCTGGAATCACACATTCAAGAAACGTAAAGAAGGCAGCATCTCATTTTCCTTTGAAACATACACATTTCTGTCACTTTGGAAGAAATGTCTCATGGAAAATCCTCCAGAGGGTAGAAGGAGCATACATAGGTTTCGCTCCATCTCTTTTACTTTGGCAGGGAATCTCAGGATGCACATGTGCCACAGAATGCCTCAAAAAACCTACACTGTGACTCAGTGTGCACAAGGCACATGCGTGTCCAGAGCAGAGTGTGGACTGATGCTGAAGGTTCTTCCATGCTGGGTAGGTGAGTGGGTGACAGACCACCCAGTAAAGCATTGTGCTGTCCTGATGAAAATTGTCATAATAATAAAAAATGTAATTGGAAGGTATAAAAGGGAGAGTCTTTCTAAGAGACTGGGTGCCACTTGCTTGTCAAGGGCTAAACTGGCTTTTCAAATCCATCCTCCTTAATGCACAGGGTTGTATTTACCTGCAACAACACCAAGAAGTTATACACCAGGGCAATATAAAGTGGAACTGCAAGCTATATCGTGGACCAAGGTCAGCTGAAGATTACATGATTCCCAGATAATGGAAATCACATTTGCAATTTGGTGTAAATCCAAAAGAGGAACTAGGGCTACAGAAACTATGATAACTTTCTCTTCCCATACTACAATGTTATCCCAGACTCACAGCAAGTTTTAGTTCTGTGTTTCTGAATGCTTCCGTATCTCTCTGTTCAGAACTGGGCTCGCTGCAAGGTTAGATCAATAGGATCGGGGTGCTCAGGATCAGGCTGCTAGGGAAGCCCTGAGCACTTTCAAGGGCAGTGATTCCCCAGCATCTCTTGACACCTGTGCCACCCTCAACCACCTTTGGGACAAGTAGATAAAATTTCCCTTGTTGCAAGTTGTGCCTGTTGTCTCTTTGTCCTTTCACTGTCCTCTGAGAAGTCTTTGGCTATTTTTTCTGACATCTCCTTTAGCTAACAAAGGCAGCAGTTAGATCAGTCCCTGTTTAGCTTTTTGTTTTCTTCTCTGGCATCTCCCAGTCATCCATGCATTCTGGAGTCTCTGAGACTATGTTAATTCCAGGTACAGAGAAAGAAACAAGAAGCGTAGACTTTTACAGAGGTTTTTTAGGTTTGGGGGTTTTTTGCTTTATTTTTTTTACCAGTAAGACAGATACCATTCTCCTGTGTGCTTCCAATGGTTCCACCTGACTGTGGTCTGATCCTTAGTTTTGAAACTGCTTTCTCTCAAGGCTTTTGGCACACTGACAAATTTTGCCTTGACGCCTCAGGCTTCAGCTCAGGCTGTCTACATCTTGCTAGACTGCCCACATATGCACAGCCTCTCTCTTGCTTAGCCTGATTTTCTTTCTGGCATCTTTTCTCAAGTTATCAGCTGAAGAACCTCTAATCTGTAGCTGACAAACTATGTTCCTTCCTTGATTTTTTTTTTTTTACTAGCCAGCCAAAGCAAAGATCAGTATTATTGTTGATGCAAGACTATGTTGCATTTGTCAGCTAACTCATCCATTTGAAGACTAACAGGAAAGTAGTGCATGGAAAAACTAAAGCAAACTAATAAAAAATGTAGCATTTAAAAACTCTTTACATTTCTGGGCACAATAACCATGCAAAGAGGTTCAAGGCAGCACATGGGGAGAGGGGGAAGTGAAATGAAAGACAAACTATTTATGAATATATTTCTACTGCTTTAGGAAGAAGTTATCATGTGCCTCTGTTTAAAGAAATTCAGTGAATCAGAAGACTAGTACAAATGCATGGGGAAGACATAAATTTCCAAAATTCTCCTCCAAGCAGGATCATGGAAAGTTGTGAATGGACCAATGGAGTTGTCTCCCTGCTCAGAGAACTGTTAGTTCTGTTAATTCCAAAGCTAGATCAGGTTTTGTCCAGGTGAATCTTTCATATTTCCAAGAGTGGAAATTCCCTGGACACTCTGAACACCTATGCCAGTGCTGGACCATCTTGGGAGTGGAAATGTAATTTCCTTTAACAGAGTCAAAATTTCCCTCATTCAAAGTTGTGCCCCTTGCCTCTTGCAAGATTGGTTTTTTTACTTCTGTTGTCTACTTGATCTTTATTGACTTTCTGGACAGCCCTTGGTACTCTCCAGGTGGAACAATGTTCATGGCTGGCAGGGACTGAACAAGCTGCATCATTAGAAATCAGCACTTAAATAGGTTTTATTTAACTTTTCCTGTAACCTTCCCTTCCTTTCACTGCCACCAGTTACATGTGAAAAGAAGGAACTCGTGTTGCCGAAGTGGGGAGGGATCTGTGGAGAACCTTTAATGAGAGCAGGAAATCTCACAGCAAGAGGAACTGTACATTAAATGTCACATATAGGAAGACACTTGCCTCCAAGAGGAGCCTTGAAGCAACATCTGACTCCAACTGCGCAAGCCGGCACCAGGAGGTCGAGCTGCCTATGCACATTCTGGAACAGGGAGTGCAGCCAGAGACGGGCATGCTGGGGTTAGAGGGAGCAAAGCCATGGCGTTAGGACCCAGAACAATGAAAATAAGCAACAGCCAGCAGCACAGTCAGCCATGGCTATTGCAAATAGCAGGCTCTACACACTTTAGTGCAGGCTTTAGTACTGTCAGCTGATCTCCAGCAGTGACATCTGGTCCTTGTGCACAAACAGGATCTACTCAAGTAAAACAGTACCTCCAGTTGTATTACACAGTCACTTTCTGCTAAGGGCCTGCACATAAAGGAGTTCCTACATTTATCTATACACACAGTTAATAGATTTTTTTATACAACCAGTCCATACAGTGATCAGCCTGCAGAGATAGCAGAAGCATAGAGATGGTGTCAGTGTCTATAATTAGCGATGCTGTATAAATTTGGCTTAAAGACAAATTGATCTTTGTCTGCAGCTACTTTTTTATACAGTCAATGATCACAGTGCAAAGGCATCACTCACGAGATTGAAAACTTGTCAAACACATATTCCTAATCAGTCTCTGTGTAATTTCTGGGTAACATTGGTGGTCCTGCACAGTTATTTGGACTGTATGTCTGGCCTTGCACTACTTTTGTTCAGCTTCTATTTTACTGCTCTACAGCAGTACAGTAAACATCGATCTATGTGTTTCCTCTGTGTTCCATGGCCTACCCATACTATCCTGGGTGTCTCAGGAGCTCAATCTGTGGAAGAAATGTGTGCAGAGATATGTGCCTTACCTCATACACCCCACAGAAGATCGACATGAACTTGCTGAGTACCACAGCACAGATACTGGCAATGTGCACAAAAGGACCCTGCAAGTGAAGAGGAGGAGAAAATCAGAGAGGGTTGCCCTCTGGTTACTGACAACCATTTAGCTACAACAGGCCTCATAACTTCTGTTCGGCCATCTCAGCCAGCCAGTAATAGAATCATTAAGGTTGGAAAAGGCCTCTGAGATCAGTGAATCAAACCTTTAATGCAGCATCACTGTGTTCACCACTAAACCATGTCCCCAGGTGCCACAACCACACACCTTTTGAACTCTTTCAGGGATATTGATTCCACCATTTGCCTATTTCAATGATGACCACCATCTCATTGAAGAATTTTTTCCCAATATCCAGTCTAAACCTTTCCTGGTGCAACTTGGTTACCTGGGAGAATTGACTGATTCCCACCTGGCTACAATCTCTTGTCAGGGAATTATAGAGAGTGAGAAGGTCTCCCCTGAGCATCCTTTTCTCCAGCCTAAGCAACGTCATTTCCCACAGCCACTCCTCATAAGATTTGTGCTCTAGACTCTCCAATCGTCCTCAGTTCTCCTATGTCCATTTAATTTTTCACCTCTCAAAGACGACATGACTTTAGTTCTTTGATGTTTCCTATATCATGTCTTTGAAAGTGGAAGGCAAATGACCAGTGTAAGATAGGTATTGCTGGAAAGACCAGTTTTGAGAAGAGGAATGGTGGTGAAAGTAAGGAAACATTTATAGATTCATCTTTCGCAGACAGCTCCCACCTTCCGGACCCTGGTCAGTACTGCACATGGAATCAGTAATATTTACCTCTTTCCCCACAGGCATGCCACTTCCAAGCCCAGCTGTGAGGGCCACAACTTTGGCCACAAAAGCTTTGAGAGTGAGATACTCCTTGAGGACCACTCCCCTCATAATGGTCTTGAGCTCTGGGATCCCAGACCCTGAAAACAACAGCAGAGTCGGGGATGAACAAAACCCGCAGGCAGACGGAACAAGGAAAACGAGACAGACAGGAACAGATCTTGCCATGCCTTCTGCCCTCACCAACAGCCTGTGGAGAGACGAAGTGGCAGAAGCTGGCCGCGAACAGAATGAGGCCGAGCGGGAACGCAACCCACACCACGTACTGCAGAGGGATATTCGGGTGCAGCACTCCGTATGTCCACTTGTAGGCTGTGGGCACACAAACAGAGAACTTGTCAGTAACCGCAGCTGCTCCAAACAGGCTGGCAGACACCAGAGAATCACACACGTGCTAAACGTGCCCATGCTAAGTCTCCTTCAGAAATGGTGCCCTCATGCTGCTTTTCTGAGGCAAGCCTAATTACAGTTTGAGTACGAGTTCCCCAATAAAGCAGGCATTCTGCAAGAATGGACAGAAGACACTATTAATACCTGCGCACAAGTGTGGCACAAAAAGAGGTGTGTTATATGCAGATGTGAGGACAAATCACTGTGCAGTGTCTTCATTTGTCAGTCTGAGGGTCTTGTGTGGGTTCTGAAGGGCAATAAAGTCCACCAATCATTCCCTCATAAAAAAACTAGTTTAAAAGCTCTGGTTATGATTTCCCTTCTAGAGCAACAGAACAGAAGCTGTTTAAAAGCCAGTAGCTCTTAAAACAGCAGTGGTACCATTGCTCAGCCAGATAGAACAACATGAGCTGCTGAGAATCCAAGCTGAACTGCAGCTCCTCTGAACTGCATCTTCCCTGTCTGAGCTGACTCCCCACACAGCCTCAGTGGAGGCTGAGACTTGCCAGGGGAAAAGGAAAAAGAACTCCAAAGGATTCAGCTGAAGGGAGTATAAAGGACAGGAACCTTCAGAGTGGATTATACCAGTCACCTGGTAGATGGGGATGCTCTGGAGGGAAGAACACCAGGCTGAAGGAACGTTGGGAGCTTTGAGGAATTGCAGCAGCCAAGAGGAAAAGGTTGGTGTATGTGTGTGCCAGTCAGGACTGGGACACTGAGGGTAAGGACAGGGGAACAGTGCAGTTAAGAGGATGTGTGTGTGTGTGTGTGTGTGTGTGTGTGTGTGTGCACAGAAATGGGGGCTGAAAGATCTTGTAATTTTTGTAGCTGGCAAAAGGAGACAGACCACAAGAAAAATACAGGGAAGGGATATAAGGGAATAGGAGATCCTTGTGAAAAGGGCAAAAGGAGAGGGCATTATATGCCCAGATGGCAGAAAAATTCAGGACACTGTATAAGTAAAAATTGGAAAGAACAAAAATTAGGTAAAAAGCAGAAACAGTGCCAGGGGGGCATCCAAGAGCCCCTTCCCCCCCCATCACCCATGTTCTCAATATTCTTGGGGAGGAAAGGAAGCAGTGTAAGAGGAAAGGCCACAGTAACATTTCTCTGTGCTCCTGCATATTCAAGGGAGCAGAAAGAAAAGGGATTAAACATAATTGTTTGTCTTTGACTCATCATACCCATATCCCGTGGTTCTGCCCACTTACTTCCAAATTTTCTCCTTCCATCCCTTTAAAGAACCTCTCCCTAGCTAACCTTTACTGTGTTATCAGAACTTCAAACCTCCTAAGCAGCAAGGGTTGAGGATGGGACAATGATGTTAAAGGACGAGCAAAACTGGTCACTGGGCTTTGTAAAACATTCATATCATTTACTGGCTGCTTTTGCAACACCTGAATGGGACCCACCCTGTACGGTCTTTGCACTGGCATAATCCACTCCCCAGCTCACCAACGCCATGACCAGACCCAACAGAACCAAGAAAATCCAGTCCTCTCCAAGCTTCTTGGTAACATATTTCTGGATGCGTTTAGCACAGTCTGTGGAGAGAAGAGTAAACCAGAAAAACAGAGTGAGCATAGATGAAGCTGTGCCTGTCTCTCCTGTGCTGAGAACTGACTAAACCAAGGATTTATTTGGAGGAATCAGGGGCTCTCTCACACAGTTCTGTGACATCTTATGTAGTTTAAAAAACATTTTTAAAAGGGCAGTAGGGGTGTGCAGGACACACAGGGTGGAATTTAACATCTTGTACACTAGCAGCAAAAGTCTGATTCAAGGAGGTCCTTTTCCTCCCATTATAGAGCTCTGTTGTGGAAAAAATTATTTACTTGGGATTGTTTTTTGTTTCAAACATATCTTTTCTCTTTCTAGGAAAGCTCATATATAGAGAAGGTTTTTCAACCCAATGAGATTCGATTCCCTTTCCTTCCCTCTCTGCTTCTCTCCAGTCACAATTGCTTAAATCCATCTCTCTTGCTGGCCTACCTAATATCTGGTAATAGGGTAATGAAACATGAATTGTGCCTACCTTGACATTTGGAATAGTGCTCTTCTTTGATCTGTACTTGGCTGTCACGTTTCAGGGGTCTTCCATTGTTCCTTTGGGACTGTTTCTTCAGCAGTTTTGCTGCTTCCTTGTCTGAAATGTTATCTGTTACCTGGTCTGTGTATCGGCCATAAAGCTAGAGAAGCAGAAAAAGCAGAAAACAAGAGGGATCACAAGGAAAAGGTAAGGCAAATGCTCCTTCACAAATAGCATTAAGGACAAGGCAGATCTACCAACATTCCGAGGTACAGACCCAAATGTACCAAGCAGGGAGACTGAGACACAGAAACTCTCAGGCAGATGCTGCTCATTTATTTTTTCTTTTTTTCCTTTCTAGTTTCCTCTTTCCAATCTCTCCAAAACCTTTTCACCTCCTTTTTGGAGAACAAGATATGATCACAGAATATTCATTATTTTCTAATGCCCTGGGGAAAAAAATGGCTGAGAGATTGAATATTAAGAGACAGCATTTGAGCATTAGGAGGCAGCTTCCTGGAGGTACAAAAGAAGGTCAAAGTAGTTCACATGAGGCCGCCATCCTCAGGGCTGTCTCATAGATATCAGAAGCACTGTAAAACATCTCTGAAGGTTTTGAGAGGCATTGCACTCTCAAACAGGCTGCAGGAATGTCCTGCATCTGTTCCTCCTGCTGCCAAGGAATGCTTAACAGGGCACATAGCCACTGATGGTGCTCGTGGAGGAAAAGAAGCAGCATAATTTCAAAAATATCACAGACTGCTGCACACTTCCAACAATTATTTACCCAAGTCAGCATTTTAAGTCCTCCTGTATCTCTAATTCCTCTGAAATTCCTGATTTCTTTAACTAGTCTTTTTCTTCAGATACTAAACTTGAAATGCAGTTGGTTATATGCAATTCACAATGAGCTACACATGCTTACCAAGGACATTTCTTACACGGGTCTACAGTAAACTGGGCAGTTGTGCTGTCTTGTTGACATCTTAAGGGAGTTTGAAAAAACCTGACTATACCCCAGGTTTGTTTACCAGATTCCCTGAAGAGCAGCTATGCCACCTCACTCTTTCACAGTACAGGTAGGGAAGGTGTGCATTTGAGAAGCAGAGAATAAGCCTCTTCTCCTTGCATATCCTACAGTGAATCACGTTTGGCTTTACTTCAGACCAGGATACCACCTGATGCACCTCCTACCTGTGACAAGGGGTCCCTTTGCTCCCTCCCCAGCACATCTGCTTCTCTGAGATTTTCTGAGAGGCAGGAGGAGAATGGGCAATGTTTTGATCAGCAAAATCAGACACTTAAGCTGGAGAATGACAGGATGTATGACAGAGATAAAGTACGACCACACATTTAGGAGACATTTCTGTTTGACAGTTCCTGGCTCCCCTTTTCAAGGCAACAAAAGAGATGTTCCTGTTCCCTTGAGAGAAAATAGATACAGAGACTCACAGAAAGGTTTACACGGGAAGGCACCTCTGGAGGTTTCTAGTCCAAGCCTCTGCCCACAGCCTGCAAACTCTGAAGCCAGGTAAGTCAGATTAGGCTGCTCAAGACCTTATCCAGGCAACTCCTAAACATCTCCAGGAGCAGAGGATACCCACCTTCTCTGAGCACCTGTTTCAGTCATCTACCATTTAGTATTTCAATATAACAAATATGACTGAAGGTCCTAAGTATTTTATTTATTTATTTATTTATTTATTTACACATATACCTCAGGAGACACTTGAGCCATGTGCCGTAGCTCCCTTTGGAAATGCTAGTGGATTTTCTTTTCTTCACAGAACCCATATCTATGCTTTTTTAAAACCATCCTGTTCTAAAGATGGCTCACCTGCTGCCTCTAAAACAGATTGATCCTATCTGAACAGCTGAAAGTATTCTTCCATTCATCACTGTATTGGAAGCTACACAAATTTAATGCAATTATTAACCACATGATTACCAACGCATTCTAAGTAAATTAACTAGACTCTGCATGGAATAATGGGCATGCTCTGACACCCTTAAAACAGATAGGACAGTGAAACCTCAGGCTGAAGAATTTCATCTACAGGGTAACTGCCACGTACAGAATGCAGTCCTACCTAGCAAAGTGCTCATTTTTTCTCTTACTGTGTCTTTCGGACAGAAATGCCAAATATGGGCAGATTTTAGACAAATGCATCTTTACATCACCTCAACCAGTGTTGTGGTCATGAGAGATGGGTTTATGTCAAATACAACTTAAACCAGTGTCAAGTATGAGATTCAAATTAGAATCTTCCATCTGCCAGATAGAACAGCGTGACAGCACAGTAGTATGAATGTTGAAAGTCCTCATATGGTATCCTACTTCACTGCATCTGCCTGCCTGTAAAACGGTGCACTTGGGATATGGGAAAAAAAAGTTAGTCCACAGACATAAAACGAAATTGCTGTCCTGGCAAACCAGGTTGTCTCAACGCATTTAAAGAATGCTTCAGACATGTGCTTTGCTTCTCCAGGATTCTGGAAGTATCTAAAATGGTAGGAGATTGTGGGACAGAGAAAGAATCCAGAAATCAAAGGATGACCTTACAGCAAAATTGGGTTAGGCAAGAAATATCCACTCCACTAGAAGATATAAAACTAAAAATATAACACAGTATGAGTCTGACTGTTCTTTCTTCTGTTGCTCCCTTTCTAACACAAGGAACACAAGGTTTCTGAGCACCAGAAAAAATGAAGACAATTTTGTAAGTTCTCAATTACCACCTAAGGGTTGAACCAGAAAAGGTACTATGATGCCTACTTGGCTAAATGCTGAGAGAGAGCACCAAAATTGTGCAAAACTAGCTGAAGGTATAAATACCACTCAGAATAGATGGGAGGAACATACACCCCCCCCAAAAAAAATCTCCCCAAAACCCCCAAAAAACAAAACCAAACAAACAAAACCACAAAAAACAAACCCCAACCAAACCATCCAGGGAGAAAGCATAATGAAGTAAAGCTTGTTATCAGAGATTAAGCATTTATCTATGCAAATTATCTTTTGTCTTTCCAAAAATTGGGGGAATTTCATTTTTTTGAGTAACAGAGGAAAAGCTGCACAGAATCTCAGGGGAAAAAATACATCACAATTTCAAGACTTATCTGGAAGCTATTTTCTGAGGGGTCAACACATGTATGAAACTGCCCTCCTCTCACAGTCCAAAGCCCAAGCTATTTCCCATGCCAGTCTGAACAATACATTCCTCACAGAATACCCCAGTCCTGAAATCCCTTTCTCTAGCTCTGCCACTGCATCCTGTTTATGATCTGCTGCTCCCAGCCATTGAGGCAGCCTTAGCCTGTACTTCTTTCCTCTCATTCCTGCCTTGTAATCATCTTGCTATTCCTAAAATTATCTTCCTTAGGTGATTTTTTTTCCTGATGCATCACCAAAGGGAAGCCATATCTGATCTCAAAGGTGAAACCTCTCCAAATGCACCACATACATAAATTTAAATGTCAGTAAAACATCTCAGTCAACTGCTTAGACACAGAGCCGATGAGGCACAGGTAAGGGACAGGGAACAGCAACAAAACAATAGTTGTTCCTGAAGAAAAGGTGGCAAAGGGGAAATCTAACAGCAATGCCATTACCTAAAGGGAGAGAGAGGTTGGAGGGAAACATCAGAGCAAGCTATCTCAGATGGGCATAGTGATGGACAAAAGGAGGAAAAGCACAACTTGCAAGAAAGGAAAGCCCATACATGTCCCCATCCAGCCCCACTGGAGAGTAGTCCAGCGCGGGAGCAGGTGCCCTGTGGGGCTGGGGAATCTTCAATCCTGCAGATTTTCAGAACATGCCTGGAAAAGGCTCTGGACAATGTGACCTACCTTTGGAATCAGCCCTGCTGTGAGTAGGGGCTTGGGCTGAAGAGCTCCAGAGGCCCTCCCACCTACCTCTCAGTGTGAGCCTGTTATTCTGTATTACTGCATTGCCTGATTTCTTACTGCACATCCCTCCCACTACAGCCATCTGTGTATTGCTGAGTGAGCTCCCTGCCAGGAACACCCTTTCTATAGTCACAAATAGCACAGATTTCAAATACTTCACCAGCTGTAACTGCTTTCTCATGTGGAAATAAAACAATACAAAATCCTACAGTGTAGGATAATCTATATTTTTATCAAGGTATATTACATCATCTGTCATATATCTACTATCTGTTATATTAATTGTCAAAAATATATTATTATTATTATCCTACTACTATTATGTTATTATCTATTAACCACTATACATTTTTTGACTGTCAATTATCTGAAGATCTAAGGCCAAAGACCAAGATTTCACTATTCTGGGGCCTGTGTAAACCAAACCAAATCATATGTACAACAGAAGGCAACAGCTAGCAAAAAAAGGAGCACAACAGAATCAAAATCTCTGTCAAATGTTTTTTCACATGACAGTGGGGAAAGAAATCTTAATGATTACTCTATGTGGAAATGGATGAAAACATGTGCAACAGGTTGTTTTTTATGTTAACTACATGATAATTGTGTGCATATTTGTACAAAGTACACGTACATATTTATAATGTATCTGCATGTGCATGAATGACCAGCAAAATATACACATCCACAGCAAGCCTGGCTTAGCCAGAAAATGTTTGCAGGCAAAGTTCCATGATAAATATACATGCACATGTGTACATGACTGCTTATATAAAATATTTCTAGGACGTATTTTTCAGTAAACTATAAATACAACTGTCTGGTTTTTAGATTGCAAATTGCCTTCACAAATGCATGCTTGCTTGGGGATTTTTCTGCCTGAAGATATGCATGGGAATGGGTTCGATGGCCTTCTTGTTTGTATGTGAGATCATCTATGTATGTGCACTGACCACCATGCCTCTGGAGCTGAGCACATAGACACTCTGGGGTCAGGGAGCAAGAGCACAGAGCTGGTGGTGTTGCCTCACTGTGTCATCTGTGCCTACTGGAGAGTGCCTTTAGGTGTGTGGGACTGGTATATCTGCTGGATATGTGTGAACTGGGATATGCTTTACTGGAGAAGGGGTTTGCATCTCGCAGCTCCCCACACCCCAGCTCACTCCTGGTTCATGGCACACATACAGAGGTGGGTTTCCTTCACCCACCTCAGCTCTCCAGCCCCATTTGCAGCCCATGGGGTAGGCATGACCCCAGTGGAGCTCAGTCTCAGGTGGGCACACATACCTCTCCACCCCATCCCACCTCTGTGCTTGCCCTCTTAGCATGGCTGCTGCAGCCAAAGCATGCCTTGTGTAGATAAAGTCTAAACTGCTCCAGTCCATCCAGGCTGCTGCTTCCAAACAAATCAGTGGGGTGGTTTTGGAAGACTTCAATGTAGGAGACATGCAAACTCTCAGATGTTTTAGGCAGTTTCAGAACAGAAATCCCTGAATACGACCATGGAACTGATTCTCTGATCTTTGGCAATGTGACACATAACTATCCTCACTGGGATGCTTACCTACTGGAAGAAATTTTCTTGGTGGCAAATGCACCTATTTTCCTATCACTACATCACGTTAAGTCTTTAGGAAACAATCAATGCAATCTCCTTCATTCCCAGCCATTTGCCATCCATGTAAGAGGATTTGTGTTCATTTAAGGAGAATCCACTTCATGAATTTCACATTCACACGCTCTCTTCCTCCTAATTTGACCGAATCCTTCATTGCACTAAAGCTCTCTTAGATCAGCTTAATCAGAACAGAGTGGTAGGAAATAAGACACCAGGACTCTGCTGTAAACCCTCCCCTTTGCAGGAGGCTGTCCCAGAAGAAGAGGCAAGGGAGATACAGAGCATAATGGAACAAAAAGCCATAACCAGACTACGTCTATGTCCCAGATATTTTCCTGAACCAGTGCTTGTACAATCCAGAGCAAGAGTCAGGTCAAGCTTAAGGGCTAGAAAATCCTTCACTTACAGCTCCACTAAGCTATCAAAAATACCAATATACATGTATGGGTATATGACCATGAAGGGCTTTATGGTTGGAGAAAAGTCACAAGAGAGCTTTACTTCATCAACACAGCTGTGCAGATAGATGCCCATCTATAAACATCACTGTTCTCTTTGATTTTACTCACTCTCGTGCTGTACTTAATATCACTATGCAGCTGCAGGCAACTGCAGCTTCTCTTTGCTGTTACAAATGCATTAATGCTTTGGCCAATTTTCCCCATCCCAGCTTGCCCATTCCAAGTGTCATTGCATCCATGGCAGGTGACAATAACCTCTGACTTGAATTACTGGTAGGATCTTTGGTGTAAGTACAACCATGAATGTCAAAGCCTGACCTGGAGTCAGCAAGTGGAGGGGAGAGCCGGTGGGACTGGGGATGCCCAGGGATGTGTGCTCTGCCAGCAGCATTTTGGAGAGCCCCAGAGATCTCCCTGCGTGATCCCAGGGAAAGCTGTGCTGCCACAAGTGTGCCGGTGTCCAGCCCTACCTGTGGGTAGCTGAGGGCGTTCTCCGGGGAGCGCAGGCCGTCCGCTGTGGCCCCGGCCTCGTGTCCTGCCTCCGCAGGTATCCCGAAACGGGAGCATTTCTCAAAGCAGACATAGTCGTACTGCGGTGTGCCCTCCCACACAGCTGCCTTCGGGCTGGGCTCCTGCGCCCTGCTCTCTGAGCTCTCCATTCCTCCAGTGCTCCTCACGCTCATGGGTCACTGCGCTGCTGCTCTGGGCCTTACCTAGCACCACCTCGGGCTCTGGCAGAGAGCGCGGCCTCCGCATTCTCTGCTGATCCTTCCTTTCTCTCTCTCTCCTCTGACCACTCCAACTTGTCCTGTTCCTGTGCTCTCTTTCTCTCTGCCCCTCCTCCTCCTCCTCCTCCTTGTGCCTCTCTCACTTTCTTCCCTTCCTGCCCAAAGGGTTCAACTATATTTATAGCAACCTTCGTCTGCCACATGATTCCCTAGCACCATGTCTGATCTCAGCAAAAGGGAATAACTCTGCCAGGATTGAATATCAGGTGTGAGCAGGAGGGGAACTCCTGAAGGAGAGGGAGGGGGCAGGGGGAAGGAGGTGGTGTGACAGACAGAGCTACAAGCACAGACAGAAAGCAGACAAGAGGAAGCAGAAATTATCCAGGATATCTCTTCTTTCACAGCTCCTCATCCCACGCACACCCTGTTTGCAGTGAGAACAAAGGTCAGTCGGCTTCCTCATTTTCTCCCCAGATACCAGGTGTCCTAAAGACTGAGCAACAATCATAAGGACGCCAGCAGCTATGGTGACATGGAATGAGATGGGTGTTCACTCAGTGTCCCAAGACAATTTTTCTAAGTCCACGGTTCACAGCACCAAGCCCTAATGGAGAAGTCAGGCATGCCTGTGAACTGCTGAACATTACAGTCTAATCTCAACCTCCCCAGGTGTTCTTATGGGGAATACTTTGCACTTCAAAGCATATCACCAAACTGCTCTGTGGGTACTCAATTATAGGTGTATGCACAAATTTAATTCTTCCTGATGCTCATTTTTCCACAGACTAGAGCATTCAACAGCTTCTCCTCTCCACTCTGCCACTGGTTTCTCAGTCAGGGAGAGAAGAAATGAGCTCAGCCAACACCAGTGAGCTACCAGCCAGCAGTAGGAATGAGAAGCATGTTACAACAACTTGGCCTAGAGACACCTCCCAGCACTGTCAGTGTGCTGCCTATAACCTATGTCTTCTGAGGGCTATTAATTTAGGGGCAGCAGAGAGTTCAAGGTCCCAGAAACTGTATACAAGAAAAAAAAACCTCACATGCCAAGCTACTCTTACTGAGTAAGAGATTTCCAGGCAGGATGAGTGGAGAGAAGGGCAAAACACCCTTTTTTGGGCTCAGAACAGTGATCTCATTATTTCATTTTGCAGACTCCTGTAAAATATTTCTTCTTTTGCTTTTATTTTAGTCTGCATGGTCCTCAAGAGTAAGGTAGAAAGAAAGTCTCCATGAGGAACACACTTAATTTCTTGCACAAACCACTTTCTCCATGTTCCTGGTAAGATATGGATATCCATTAGCAGTAATAATCACACGGATAAGGTTAGTGTGTACAGCCTACAACTGGTATTTAGGATTTATTTATTTATTTATTTATTTAGGTATTTATTACTGAGTATTTAGGAAAGCAGCATCAATGCTGCCCCAAAACTTAGAGGCTCTCCTGTTTCATTCTCACCAGCGCTCACTTTCCTGTCAACAAGCACCATTTTCTGGAGGAATACTGTGCCCCATATGTAGGACAGAACTTGAAATGAATCACCATAAAGAAGAGTTTCTAAGTGACTGTGTCTAGCAAATCAGAGAAAAACATTTAGTTACCCTCAAAAAGGCATTAATTGCTCCCAACCTATTGAGATGCTTTTGGAAATCCATTGTCATGGCTTATATAAAAAATGATGCATAGCATATACTATATAGTGTATAAAATATAAAAATATTGTCTAAAATATAAAGTATAGGAAGCCTAAAAACTGAGCACAGTACAGCCCAGCAAACATCAAAGCTGTAATATAGTCAGTCACTATTGTATGTACTGCAGGAGAACACTCACCAGAGCCACTGCAGAAAATAACGAGAACCTTTAGCTGAAAGTGCACTCTTCTAGCTCTTGTTTTTCAAGAGGCACAAGAATGGCACATTAGAAATTGCTGCAGTATTCAAATGAACCCTCTACTGCCAGCTAATCAAACTCTACTGTCTGTCTTGCATGATACTGTTGTGGAATTTCCACGGGAAATAATGATATAATAATATCCTAAAAATAGGATGATTGTACCCTGAAAGGCTTTTCCCAAGAAATATCTCTCTCAGCTTCCAAACTAGCCCTGGCCTCACTTATCAATAAAAGCATGAAGGACCCCAAGGCCAATCAAATGACTCTAGATGCTACTTGAACAAGAAACCTTTACTGTGCTCATTAGGAAGATATCCTACAACCCCCCTGGCCCCTCAGTGGTGTTTCCCACAGTGTAATGTACCTCAGCCATGGAATGGTAGAAGGATAACCACGCAGCTGGTCCTGAACAATCACTGTGTGCATGGTGGTACCTATGCACTAGCAAAGACCCAGCTCACCTGTAGCTAAGGACCTTGTATTCAACTAATTCCCACCTCTCATCAAACTATCTCTGCCTCTAGTCTCTGCACACAGATACTGTCTAACAAGGAAACAACTGGGAACTGAAATTCATTCCAGTGCATGACAAAATATATGCAATCATTAAAGATACTGGATTTATGTCATAATATTTTCTGTGTCCTGAGCACTAATCTTATCATGCTACTGAGTTTATAAATCAACTGTCTCACTCTTTTCCCGAGGAGGTAAAAGTGCTTTGTCAGCTCACTGGAAATTATTAACAAGCCTTGCTATTTCACTAGGTACCAATAATCTCTGTCACAGCCTCCAGCCTCACTGACAGTACCCTAGTTAAATTCAAAGCAGCTACTCTTGACTCGTATTTGCTCTGAGATCTGCTGCTTCTATTTCACACTCTCAGAAGAACTTGTAAACCCAACAGCTTGTCCACTTTTTCCAGCTGGCACAGCTGACCTAATGAAAAGTAAAGTTCTGGCTCTACTCATCATCTTTTCCATGTTTTCAGATCTGCAGATATAAACATAAACACAGAATACAAAGAACACCCTGAAAAAAATCTGCCTTTCTGCACTGCTGCTGCCCAGCAACTACTGTCAAATCTCCCCTATCATTCTTCCTGTAATCTCCTACCACAGCTTTTCTTTCTATATTTTCTTTATTGCCTCTCTGTCTTGCTTTCTATTTCCCAGGCCTTGCTCTGCACTTCCACCAGAACTCACCAGTGGAGTGCTGCTGTTGCTTCAGAGATTACCAGCAGACTCAGGAGATTAGCAGAGAGCTGGAGAAAGACATAAAAATAAGAGGAAGGTGTCATAAACCATCTTGCACTAGCCACAAACAAACACAGATGACCAGTACACATGGCTTGACTCCTCAGGTGCGCCTAAGTCTCTTGAAAAGGCTCACAAAAGTTTCTAGACTTGCCCATGGCATGCAAGAGGAAAGTTACACAACCTGCTCATGTACCTTTTTTTTCCTTTGCATATTACAGGCCCTAGTGAGTTGCAAAGTGTGTTTCAAGAAGGACATGTTTGTGATAGATGAAATTACAGCTACAGTCCAAATTAGGATATTAAATGACAATAAAGGAAAGAAGTTGGAAGAGCTGTCAACTAAGATGGATGTCTTGTTCATTCATTTTTTCTCCCTCCTCAGTTTTCTCTCAGGTTTCCCTTTCTCTGCATGTATTTATTTTCCTGAATGTTTTTCAGGATATAGAAATACAATTCCTAGCCTTTCCATCCTACTGCCTTGATAGTGAAAGCTCTGAGAGGCTGGTGGGGAGGGGGGTAAGGATGATTGAAGACTCACTCTTCTCCCACGGTCTGGTCTCAGGAGATTTATAACCTGAAATCATCCAAGTGCTATTTATCAACAGTGAGAATCTTAATGTTCCCTATGCCCTACCCATACAGTTATCAGACATCATACTAACTTCTGAGACTTCTGCTTTTGCTAGAGCTTTTTTTGGTTTGTTCTGTAGAAGGTTCATCCTGAAAGATCTAGACCACTTCATGACCTCATTGTTCACAAGCCCACCAGCAGACTGCAGTCTCCTCTGGAGCAGAAAACCATGTCTATTTTTCAGCTGCCACCAACACTGCATACACACATATTATAGCAGATGGTGATGCAGAGCCCTCTGCCACCCCAGACTGACAGGAGTGGAATTTGCTGTTATTTAGAACCCTGCATACAGAATAGATAAACAGTCATTTAAAAGCAAAGCAAAAATAATATTCTGTGCTTGAGAAAACCCAGCCCAAGAGGTCCACAAGAAGATAATATAAAAGATCGTCTATGGGACAAAAGAAATTGTAGAGGTGAAAAAGATAGTTTTAAAGGAGGAAGAGGAGAAAGGTGACAGAAAGATGACTACTTAACACTATCACAGTCTCTAAGAGAGAAACACAGAGTCAATAAGAGACAAAGAACCAAAGGGCATGAGGGGAAGAGAATCTGGACAGGAAGAAGATACAGCAAGCATATTTTGCTTCAAGCAATACCTTTAGATGGAGCAAAAATGAGTGAAAAGGCAGAAAAAAAGACTTCAGTAGATGTCAGATAAGGCAACGGCTTCTAGATGAGAACAAAGCTTTTGACTAGGACATTGTATTAGACAAGATACCCATGGAGGCTTCAAAGAGCTACAGAAGGCAATTAGAGCTTTGGGAGAGAAAGAATGCTGTGAAAAGAGCTAGGATGAGGGAGAGAGACTGGAAGAAAAGACAGCTTTTATAGTAAAAGAAAGAAATAGATCATAGACTGAGGCTTGAACAGTAGCAAAAGATAGAAATTTAAGCTGTGCAGGGCACATAGTAAGCCAGGCTGGATGTGGAGAGACAATGACAGAGAACTCTCAGAGGACACTTGAAAGAAGGGCTGAGTTCCCAGCAAACAGTAAAAAGAAAAAGACCAGAAAGTTTAAGGGCTTTCATCATGAAGAAATAACAAGATAATATGATGATATTCAAGTGGACATGTACTGACTAATACTAGACTGAGTAGAGCAGAATTGACAGAAACAGGGCAGATTTTGAGAATA